AACAACAACAACAAGCACCGTCCGAAACTAGCGCACCATCTATTCCCTTAAAGTAAGTTTATAGGTCTAGCGTTGCGCTGATGCAACAGTTCGTGTGTGGGAGTTTTGGACTGCTAAATTGAATCTGAAGAAGGAGAAATCCCTGTTCGTCAGCATCACAACTGTCGGAATTGCTTAAGCTGCTGTCATGCACTAGGCATTATTGCTGAGAAAAGAAACGAGTAATTGGCCAACGCACCAACTGCTGGTGCGAAGATGCATTTTTTGCACAGTTCCCCCGCAGGTTTTTGTCGCTAACGGCACTGTTTTTTCCGGCAGATGCTTCTAGTTAAAAGAATTGAGACCAGCCATCACGATTATCAGAAAACATCACCTTAAAATTTCAGCTTTCTAGCTTTTTTCAGGTTCCGGAGTTAGCAACTTGCTTGCTAGAAGTTTTCACGGGCCCGTGCGTGAGAACCATGCACACCTGGGGCTGATTTTGAAGCCATTAAGTTTTAGGTGGACGAGGAATATCCCCTCAGAATTTTAATTTCCTAGCTTTTTTGATACCGGAATTAGCAACTCACCCCCAAAAAGCCTTCACGGGCGCGTACGTGGGAACCACTTGGGCACGAGCATCCATTTTGCGAATTGAAGCTCGCAGATGCGTGTGGATTAATTTCCAAAAGTTTCAGCCTCGTAGCTTCTATAGGTCTTGAGATGAAAATTCGGTACAGACGCACACACAGAAACACACACACAAGCAGACAACTCGTCGACATTATGCGTTTTTGCATTGTACAGATGCAAAAAACGCATGTCAAAGAGCTGTTTCCGTGTGTGTGTGTTCGTGTGTGTGTGCCTGTGTGTGCGTCTGTACTGAACACAAAAACGGGTTCAAAAAAAAATCTGTGCTGCGCACTTGGGCAGGTGGTAGTGGAGATAGAAATTTGGATGGGCACGAAACCAGTAATGCGTTTTAGCTGATAGACGCGTTTTGGAAGACTGATTTTGATATTGCATTTAATATCAGAAATCACACATCTCATGTTTTGCAATATTTTCTTTACGCTTTACTAACTGG